CAATGTGGAGCATTGTGTTGCATGCTTTTCCACTGAATGTTATTATCGACCCGGAAAATGAGTGGGGTTCATCTTTAATTGTTGGGATCAGAAAATCATTGATTTTGGGTGATTTTTGACTATAGGCTTGTAGTGTTGCAAAGTACCCCAGGTTCCCTGGTTCTAACCGGTTCCAATATGGGAACCGGAACCGCGAGTCCAATCTTTTCAAGAACCGGGTATGCTCGGTTCCGGCTCCACAAGAATCGGATCTAGATTAAATTACCTAATCTCTGTGCACAAAACCCAGAGCCAAGAATCGCTACATGTAGCGATTGAATTCCTATGTATAGGAATTCAATCGAGTGAAGGCGTGGGACATTCACTTTGGCTTGTCAAAACAGTGGTGGAGAAAACCACACAGACTCCCTTAATTATGTCACGGAGAGTTGGAGACAAACCGCTGACACAATTTACATGTAATTAGGGCTGCAGTCGATGTGATTTAAGGTGCGACGCCATCTTTAAAATGTTGAAAGCTATGTTTTTGAAGAATCAATCCTTTCAAACATGAGGTTTCAGCGTCACATTATTTAGCAATGATTTGTATTAAATGTACGTACCTCTTGCGTCCCTTTACAACCGAAGATACATGTACAGGTTTTTGAGGGCGAAAAACAAGGCTGCCATAATCCATGCCGTACAGGCATCGTGCGTGTTGAAAAAAAAATAATGTACGTACGTGACTTGACTTTATGACTATTTCTTGTAGACTTTACATTAGAAATCCACCAACACAACTACTCTTCTGTTTCAGAAGTTACTGAACTTAATCTAGATTTGTACATGTATGAAGTAAGGTAAAGGTAAAGGTCCCATAGCCAATACTGGTTGTAGGGGCAGTGGGATGTTACAGGTCCACTGTGTCTTGGGCGCGGCATATGAGTGGCGGTGCCCAGTCCTCTCCTCTCCCCGTCTTACCTTCCCTGAACGAATCAGGTACCCATTTTACTCTTGGGTCGTCAGAGAGAGTTTTCCAGTTTTTGGTCCAAATGGGATTCGAACTGCCAACCTTACACTCCGTAGCTCCACGCTCTTACCGCTCGGTTACAAGGCCCCTCTAAAGTACCAATGTATAAGGGTCATTCCACCGGGTTGGGACACAGTGCATGTTACATCTATATATTTGGTCATATTCTTAAAAGTATCAATGCATTCTAAACAATTGCGCAACATAATATTTGTCTTAGGGTGTTTCAATACTTGAGAAAGTTTGAAATCATTTGAATGTACTTTGAAAAAAATATGAGCAAAAATGTATTATTCGGACGTAACATGGACACTGTGTCATTGTTACATCCAAATATTCTTTGTTTGCCGTTTTTTACACATATATGTAAAATATTACCCAAACTGACATTGCATATATATAACAGGACACCTAATGCACCAAGAAAAACTTTTGTTTTGGTATTGTCAGGGTTCAAATGTAACAGAAACGATACCTTAATGTTGACGTAACAGTGTCCAAATCACCCAATGGAAGTGTGACATTTGGGGTTGGACACGGTGTCCATGTTACATCCACAACCAAGCTATCATTTCTGCTCCATTTGATACCTGACTACCATAACAAAAGCTTTTCTTAGTGTGTTGCATGTAGTGTAATAAGTACATAAAGTGAATTCGGGTAAAGTTTTACAGAAATTTAAAAAAAATTGGTACAAATAAAATATTTGGATGTAACATGGACACAGTGTCAATGTTACATCTGAATGACATTTTTGCTCATATTTTTGGCAATATACATTCAAATGATTTGAAACTTTCTGCACCAGTGGAACACCCAACAACCAATATTATGTAGAGCAACTACAAGCAAGGCATTCATACTTTTCATAATATGGTCATATGTCACACATTGTCATAGCTGCCAACTGTTACTAATTTTTCGTAATTATTACGAATTGTTTGTTAAATTACGAAAATACGATTTGCCACTAAAACATTACGAATTTCCCATTTTCTACCTAATGAAAAAAAAAATACTTGTAAAGTATCGTTTTTGACCGAAAACTTCTGGCGAAATGTCGCGATAATGGATGGACTGGTGACAAGTCTAATAAGAATGCAGTCAAGCACCTGATAGACATCAATGCAGTGTGCGCAGTGGAGTACTTGAGGGCCAGACTAAAACTATTTTTCAATGGTGTGTCATTTGTGTGCATCTCGTGGATGTGTGGTTGTGTGTACTGTATGTGAGTACTTTTCAGTGACGATCGTGAGCACATTTGGTCGCTTTTTGCCGGGTTGAGACCCATCAGTGCAACAATTTAATCATGGAATTTAATAAGAGTATGGTTGGAATAATTGGTTTTACAGTTTGAGTTTGTCACAACGTCCAGAAAAGATAAATCAGCATGCGTTTGCAAGGTATGTTGGCGGGATATTTCTATTGCATACGGTCATGACGGTGGCCCTAAATCATTGTGTGTAAAAAAACATTGATACGAACTCGAAACTCCACATCGATAGCATGCATCTCCAAAAAAATATACGCATATTTTATTATTGTTATTATTTATTTGACTCCAACAAACAAATACAGACATTAAAAAAAATTAATTAATTTAAAAAAAAAAAAAAAAAAAAAAAAAATTAAATTATCTTTTGGCCTACATTACATTATTATTCACAAGAAGAAGGGTATGCACATGTATGTGTACATGTAAACCATGTACCTGTACTCGATGTTGGTAAAGCTTTTGATAAAAGGAGCAGTTGAAAATGACCGCGCGGGTTGATTACTAATTGGGATTTTGAAATGTTGGCAGCTATGCATTGTGTCCCAACCCGGTGGAATGACCCATAAAGTACAAAGCCAGAAAAAGCAAAACTCTACCATCTGATTTCAAGAAAACTGTCTCATGAGAATTTGTGGACTCTGAGTTGTGCTAACAAGTTCAGAGACCCTATGAAGACCAAATCTTGAATGCTCAGCAGTTGTATTTTTAGGCTAAGGTGAATATTCCAGGAATACAGTTTGATGAGATGAGTGAAGTGCAACAGTGCGGAGAATTCCTTAAGAGTACATCAGCAGTGACTGTTCGGGGTTTGCAACAGCTCCATGCTTTGTACCCGCACTCAGTACAGCGGACTCACATCCAGGTGAAATTCATTTCGAAGGAACAAACTTCAAAGTCTGTGAGAGTCATTAAATTTCAAGAAGCGCGGCGAATGCAGTCTTGAATGAGTAAAGGCCCTGTCACACTGTCTGCGATCTTATATGCGCTCTCACTGCATCCTTGAAAAATAGCTGGGGCGCAACAACAACTACTAAATCGCAGCGACAACTACATAGGTCGCCAGATGGGCGCCAGAGGGTCTTAATGGTCTTCGATGAGCGCAAAGGTCTTTGAACATGCTCAAAACAATCGCAACACCTCTGCGCTCTGGCCAGGGCGCCCTAATGACGCAACTCGGGCGCTGTGCGAGCGTGAATCGTGCGACATTGAAGTGGCATTGAGGCAGCTTAGGTGCAAGGCAGTCGATTTAGTCTCCATGAGAAAGTAACTCGACTGCGATGAACTTGTTGGATAATTTTTGAAACTGGACTATGTATTGACCGTTTGGTCGTGGTATTTATACAGCGCAAGTGACGTCACATGAGCGTATTTTGGTTGTACAGAGAGCGCGACGAGAGCTACTAGGACGTATCAACAGCGAGCAGAGCGTAGTGCGGGCGCAGTGACAGCGCAGCGGCAGCGACTAGATCGAGTAATTGAGCTTGACAGGGGCGCATAGAGAGCGAGTTGAGCGCATCGTAAGCGCGGGAAGAGCACAGTATGCGCGTAGCTTGAGCTTCTTTGAGACAGGAAATTGTTGTTTTCTTGCGTCCTTGCTGCGATTTTTAAACTTATGAAAAAAAAATTGGTCACCGTCAGGTCTCCTATGAGAGCGCATATAATGTGACAGGCCCTTAAAGTATTTTTGATTGCGATATTGAGTATAATCTTTAAGCAACCTTGACTCCTCGATCCTGATTAGTCTATCCATTGCAACAACAGTGTGATATTTATATAATCAGGGGTGTGAAATCCCTGCTATTTAGCGGATTTCCGCTTTTTTGTTCAGCGTGCCACATTTTGTTTTCCATTTTAGTTTTAGATTTTAGTAACGTTTGAAACAGAAGAGTAAGTTGTGATAGGTGGATTTTTAATGTTGACTCATTTGTAACCTACCAACTGTACAAAAAATAGTTGGAAGACCCAATTTTTTTTTAAAATTGTGAATTCTGATAGACGAAGACAATCTCTCTATCAAGTCGTTTTCATTTCGATGATTTTCTTAAGGATACATTATTCCAAAAATTGGGTCAAAGGTCACGGTAACATATTAAAGGTCATGGTGACCTACTTTTCACAAAATTTCATTTTGAACATGCAATTCTCATTATTTTTAGATCAGATTTGCATATATTTGATGAAACTTGACATGGTTATGACATATTTGTACCAAAGCGGTCAATTTTTTGTACTTTCTGCCCTGACCACATTTTTACATTACTAGCGCGTTGTCGTAAAAGTTGGTACCTTGATCCTGTCTTAACTTATTCTTTAAAATGGGGCTTGCGGTCGCTGCCGAATTTAACTGAGCGTGATGGGGAGTGATAAATAACCGTCTGATATTTTCTACACAAACCCCAGGTGTAGGGTTTTGCATAGAAATTTCTAGATACCAACCTTCACGACATTGTGTTTGTAATGTAGGTCTTTTGCCTTTATTTAGTCTCCCATTCTGTAATGATTAGCTATTCTTTAGACTTGGTACTCTCTCTAAAACAGAATTCGAGTTGATGCACAACATTCACATCGCTCTTGTTAGATTTTATTGACTTCATTGTAACATCATTTAAAAATTGTAATCAAGTTCAGTCAGACTAAAGAAGAATTGCATTTAACTATTTGTTCAATATTTTTTGATGATGATGTTGGGCTGTGTTCTTGCTTTTTATGTTACAGAATATTTTGGACACATTTCCAACAGCTATGGGAAATAAGCACCTCTCAATGATTCATGATCTCCGGCAAGAGAAAAAAAATATGCTTGAATTTACCTTAAAGAGACTGATCCCGGAAGGTAATCACTGATGAAATGTGCAAGTCCAACAGCTGATTTCACGGGACCACACAATGGCATAACGTCCCTTTACGCCACATTTCATTGTGGTAGATGCACAACATTCCTATTGCTCAGTGCCTAAGTCTGCGACTGATGCAACAAATTCTTGCGTAACTTATGCAGTCATTTTGGGCAATAAATTCTTGCTTAACTTATGCAGTCATTTTGGGTGGCGTAAGTTATGGTGCACCAACTGAATGGACTGTTTTACTATTATTGTTTTGCAATGTATATGAATTGCTATTTTACCCCTGACTGAAACAGATGTCATCAAATCTGTTATCATGTGTAGCATAAACAATACACATGGTATTCCGTGAAATCAGCTGCAGTATTTGTATTTCATTGCTAGCAAATAAAATCCCCAAATTAAATGAGCTTTACAGAAGTGAAGTTTGGTTGAGATTATATGGAGTGATTGTGAGATTGCATTGACCGCACCTTGAGATTTTAAGTTGGTTACTGAAAACGTGTTAACGAGTCAAGCAAGAAACCAACATTTGTTACTTTATTACCCTCCTGAAGGAATTGAGTCAAGGAAAGACAACAATTAAAGGGAGGGAACGTAATCCTTCCATGTGAGACCAAGCTATTAACAAATATTCATAAATACCTCAGACAGTTTAGCTATTCCTATTGGTCGAGAGCCCGTCACGTGGCCGGTATTAAACGGATGATAAAGACATGGCTAGCTGGTCTTAAACACTTGTCCAGTGTCACAATAAAATGTGGACTCCTAAAAATCCAGTGCCTCTTACCGTTTCATTGGTTGAACGTTCACAATCCTCACGTAGGCATGCGCAACACTACAAGCGAGTCAGAATTTTATAGTTCTAAATTCAAAACGCAACGCCCCAGGTGCGTTCTGCGTGACATCGCGCAGAACATGTTACGCGCGCGTCAATCTCCATAAAAGGGTTGTTTACATCTTACTCGCCAGCTGAACACTCCATTATTTTGCTAGAGGGATGTTTAAAAAAGCATGAAGTGAACTTGTTGAACAAAATCGGGATTTTTTGAACGAATTATTTGATATTTTTTTACGGATAAGGTATTTATGAATGGGAATAAATATGTGCTCGGTCGGTATTTATCACTCTGTTTAATACTGCTTAGAGTCTGGGTGCTGATAATTACCCTCGCCTCCGGCTCGGGTAATTATCAGCACCCAGACTCTAAGCGGTATTAAACGAGTGATAAAAACCTCCGGAGCACACATTTATTCCCTTATTGTAAATAACAAAGAAAATTGAATATTGATTTTAATAAGTATATTATGATTTTGTTTGTTAGGATTAATAGACGTAATAAAGTATTATTTTCAGTACATTGACTAGATTATTAGTGGTGGGCAATCGTTGTTATTCAGACAAAAACACATGGAAAATATAAGGTGTCATTTACATGACATCAAAATAAAAAGTTTACAAAAGCCTTCGTAGCTTTACAACTACGTCTTCTGGATTCATTTGAACAATTTATTTACATGAACTGGAATGAACATTTGTCTCTTATGACAGTGTCTTGTTTACAACAGTTTAAATTAGTTTGCAGTCATCAGTGAATGATGAATTCTGATTATATCATTATAGCAATTAAGTTTACTGGTAATTTTCAATCGGTGACCAAGGGGTGTGCATTTAATATAGGTCGTCAATTGCTTCGGCCACGCTTAAAAGTGTGGCTTGGGAAAACCGCAGTAGATGCTACGTCACGCACGCATGCAAATCCCCAAGACTATAACATTGTACTCCAATACATAGCAAAATTCAACAAATTACAAAAGATTTACAATGTAAAATCAGGCAAGCCTGAATAATCATGTGATGATGTTATGCCAACATGGTCTGAGAAATCATTTTAACGACATTCCTGTAAAATGTGCACGTAACATTTACGATTTTTTAATGTAATAATGTTATGGCGATATGGTATTGGTGATGTTATGATTGTGTGTCCATTTCGTTCCCTAATTAACCCCTTGCACCTCTAATTGTAAATATGTACAATTTTTTTTTTCATGCCAGTTCAGAAACCCTGACTCGGTTGATTTACCCTGTCTATGGAGCTAATCTATTTATTTGGGTAGGAGCCAATCACGACACAGTGTTTGAGGAAATTAATTATCAGTGGATCTCAACATCCTTGACAGGTTATAAACCACAACCATATCTGAAGTCACAAAAATTAGTTCACTTTAGACTTTATAGTACTGATCTGAACATCAGTACTAAAAAGGTTTGCTTCAATTAGCGCAAGTTAAGGTTTGATAATTAAAGGTTTTGCAGATTGTTATCCTCCCTTCAGTACCTGCTGACAAAAATGAAAGAGTCTTCTAAGTTTGATTACCTTGATTGGTCAAGTTGTTGCTGCAAATAATGCTTACTGATGATGTTACATATAACTATGCATTGATGCGTAAATGCATACACCCTAGATAAATAGAATTTAAACAATGTATACCTTAGGCTTGGGCGAATCAAAGCCGGAATCGAATAGATCAGAATCGGAATCGCGATTCCACCTTTTGAGGAATCAATTCTCTGATGTAGCCGATTCCAGTTCCCCGAGCGTCGATTCCAGACCATCGCAGCCAACTCAAACGCGCCTTCAGAGAAAATATGATTCTTTAACAAAACGGACCCTTTACAGTTTTAAACGTATGCAGTGCATCAAAGACAAACTGATAGCACAACTCTGTTATTAAGCCGTCCTCTAACAAAAAGCTTTAAGCTCCACGGCATATTAAATATCACAAAGTGAGCAATTTTATTTGTGTAATACAAAGCTTAAAGGCAGCCGGCGCCGTGCTGGAATGACATTTTTGTCAACGTGGCTGCGCCTGCCTGCCGCCACACATTTTCTCACGAAATGATATTTTTTCCTTTGACGTAAACATTTCATTTGTCTGTGCAAATTAGGTTTCCTGTCATCACAGGAATTTTTCACAGTGACTGGAAACGGTATGCAGCTCCCGAAAATTTGAATAGGTTTTGTAAAATCCATAACAAAAATGAGTTTGTCTCGAATGATTTTGTCCTTCCCCATCAAAAACCAATACAGTCCTGCACTAACGTTGTTCTGAAACAACCGGCAAGTGGCAATAAATCGCGGGCTATTTTCGAAAAAAAATCCCTGGATTATATATTGGAAATATGAACTGCAAAGTTCCACATGCACACGAGGTGAAAAATCATTCCTATAAAAGCATTTCATACCTAAAAACTGCTGTGAATCAATCACCAGACGAGCGTAAGCGAGGGGAAAATCTTGGGTGCCCAGGTACTGTGGAGCTGTCACGTGTTTTGACAATCAAGCTGTATTTCTAATCTCGGGGAATTCCCTTTGTAGATGAGCACGTGCTGAGGGCCCGTGTATACTGTCATTTGATTGGCAAGTTGGTCTCATTTTCCTATTTCCACGACCCCATCACATGATGTTTTTATGTGCACATCGTGCCGCAAGGGGCGTGGTTTGATTTTGTACATTTTGTTTGTGCGATCGCAATTCACGAATGATGCTATGACTGAAACAATCTTGTAAAATAATCGGACTGGTGGATTAGCAAAAGAGCGGGAAAAATAAATTAGAATATTCCTGTAAATTTCGTAGGTACATGTATGTATAGGGATTCATTGGCAATGTCCCAACTTCTGAAGCTACATCCAAAAGTCCAAAATTTGCATCGACATCAAATGTTTCCAGGGTCCGTACGCGAATGAGAACTGCGTAGTAGAAAATTGTGTTTTTGTGAATGGCATGAAGTGGCTGGTACTTGCCAAACAATCGCTAATGTAGTGGTAAATCGTTAACCAGCGATCCATGCCGTGGTTACGTAACCATCAAAAATGAAATCACATGGAGAAGTTCTATCGGTAGGTACGATTATTACACTGCCAAATAAAATGTTGATCATTCATAAAAAAATATGGAACTCAGAGAAAACAACCATATTACAATGTATGTTTAGCGACCATTTCGATAGAAAATGCCGGTTTTTAGGGTGCTTTCCACACTATTTTCAACTGTTTTGGTTGATAGCGCTGAACTTAGGTGAGCTCTGATATTGATCTTGCGTGTTTCCCGCAAGGCGAACAAATTAAAAAACATTTATTTTATTGTGTTCCCTGCCCAAAACGTGACTTTCATTTTGTATTTAAATGACTATAAGAGAGCAATTACACCCATAATGACCTTGCTTTTTGTGGTTTTTATTGTAATGTTTTTGTTTGTTTTGTTTGGTTTTTCTGATTTTTTTATTCTGTTTGATTTTTTCTTGTTTGATTGTTTTTTGGATATTATTTTTTTGCAAAAATTATGGAATCCATTCCAAATGGAATCGCGATTCCCAGACGGAATCGGAATCGATTCCAAACATGCTGGATTCGCCAAAGCCTAGTATACGCCCAAAGAATCCGAATTCTTTGAGACGTTCCTTACGGAATATCTGAATTGATGGCATGGATTGAAAAATCGATCCCAACCGAAGAATAAAAGGCGCTGAGCCCATGAATTCCGTGTCGCCATTATTCTAGCACTTCAATGGGCGACAGTGTCAAGTACATCACTGACCTTCGACCAGCCATGGAACCGCACACATATAGCAAAATCACGACAGGAGATACATCGGAATTACTGCTGAATGGTTTTTCAAACTTTGTTTGCTCAGTTGGCGGTGTTGGCACTATAACAAGGTCAAATTCTCCCTCAACTTTAGTCCAAAGATGGGAATCAGACTGATAATTGAGCTGGGCTATGTCCATTCACCTGTTGGATTCATTACAAGGCTCGGACTTGGATGTCAACCTCACTCTATCCGTCTTAAAGCAATCAGTCCAGCTCAGGTCACTACCGTAGCTGGGAGGCCGTTGGGGCACTTTGATGAGTTTACCAGTCTCCTCCATCTTACCTTACACACTTCCACAATGTTTTTCTGTCCATCACCGAACGTTCCAGGT